GAATCACTTGAACCCAGGAGGCGGAAGTTGCAGTGAACCATGGGCAACAGAGTGAGACTCCGTCTCAGAGGGGAAAAAAAAAAAAAACAACCTATTTTCTCTGATGTGAATACTTATCAACACATAATTTACAGTTTTCATTCTTATTAAATTCTTTATTAGTTATAAATTACATACAGAATAAAATAAGTAAGTTATGAGAAATAATGCTATAATTTAAAGCCATGCTCTTACCACCCAATTTAGAAATAGAAATAGTACCTTGCTATTAACTTGAATGTCTTCTGAGTGTCATTTCCAAGTCCCACACTTTTTCTACCCCTTTAGAGGTAACCTTCATCCTGAATTCCTTGTTTATCTCTGCCTTCTTTTTTTAGAAATTTTTTTATTTCCATAGGTTTTGGGGAACTGGTGGTATCTGGTTATGTAAGTTCTTTAGTGGTAATTTGTGAGAATTTGATGCACCCATGACCCGAGCAGTATACACTAAACCCAGTTTGTAGTCTTGTACCCTTCACCCCCTCCCACCTTTTCCTCCAAGTCCCCAAAGTCCACTGTATCATTCTTATGCCTTCACATCCCCGTAGCTTAGCTCCCCCTTGTGAGTGAGAGCATACGATGTTTGGTTTTCTATTCCTGAGTTGCTTTACTTAGAATTACAGCCTCCAGTTCCATCCAGATTGCTGCGAATGGCAGTAATTTGTCCCTTTTTATGCCTGAGTAGTATTCCATATATATACTATATTCTGAGTATATAGTGTATATATATATGTGTGTGTGTGTGTGTGTGTGTATACACACACACATCACAATTTCTTTATCCACTTGTTGACTGATGGGCCTTTGGGTTCGTTCCATATTTTTGCAATTGTGAATCATGCTGCTATAAATATGCATGTGCTGTTATAAATATGCATCTTTTTCAAATAATGACTGCAATTGTGAATCGTGCTGCTATAAATATTAATCATGCTGCTATAAATATGCATCTTTTTCAAATAATGACTTCTTTTCCTCTGGGTAGATACCCAGTAGTGGGGTTGCTGGATCAAATGGTAGTTCAATTTTTAGTTCCTTAAGGAATCTTCTGTAGTAGTTATACTAGTTTACATTCCCCCAGCAGTGTAGAAGTGTTCCCTTTTTACCACAGTCATGCTAACATCTATTATTTTTTAATTTTTTTATTATGGCCATTCTTGTGGGGGTAAGGTAGTATCGCACTGTGGTTTTGATTTGCATTTTTCTGATTATTAGTGATGTTGAGCATTTTTTCAAATGTTTGTTGGCCATTTGTATATCTTGTTTTGAGAATTGTTTATTCATATGCTTAGCCCACTTTTTTATGTGATTATTTGGTTTTTTCTTGCTAATTTATTTGAGTCCTTTGTAGATTCTGGATTTTAGTCCTTTGTCAGATGTATAAATTGTGAAGATTTTCTCCCACTCTGTGGGTTGTCTGTTCACTCTTCTGGCTGTTTTGTTTGCTGTGTAGAAGCTTTTTTTTTCTAGTTTTATCCCATGTATTTTTATTTTTATACAATATATCATTCAATTTTGCAATTTAATTTACATGAAAGAATTCATACTGTATTTTTCCAGGGCATTATTTTTGTTCAGTGTTAGGTTTCTGAGGTTATCAATGTATCAATATTTCCAATGGCTCTAATTCATTTTTTCTCTCTCTCTCTGTCATTTCTCTACTGTTGTATAGTATTCCTTTTGGTAAATATGCTACCATTTGTTTATCCTATTAAAAATACAATGGCTATTTGTGGTTTTTTCCAGGAATCTTTTCAATTCCAATGTACTACAATGAACACACTTGTGTATATCATATGGTACACATGTGTAAAAGATTTTTTAAGTGTGTACTTCCTGGATCACAGAGTTTGAACATTTTAAGTTTATTAGAAACTGCTGAATTATTTTTCAAAATAGTTTTTACCAATATACATTTATATCTGCATTCTACACACATTCTAGTTGCTCAGAAATGCCAACATTTGATATTACCAGGCTTTGTAAACTGTAAATTCGATGGGTTTTATTTGTATCTCATGGTGTTTTAATTTGCATTTCCCACAACTATGAGGTTAAGCATTTTTTCATGTGTTTATTCACCATTTATGTTTTCTCTTGTGTAAAGTGCCTTTATTAGGTTTTTTATTAATTTTCTATTTGGTATTTTGACTCTCTTTCCTATGATATGCATGAGTTTCTTACATATTCTAGAAACAAATCCTTTGTCAAGTTTATGGTCCTTTTCACTATCTTTATGTGGCTTTTGATGACCAAAAATTCTTAATTTTAATGAAGCAGAATTTATCAATTTTATATATTAAGGTTAGTGATTTTTTATATCTGGTTTAAGATTATCCTCCCATACTCTTAGCTCAAAAATATATTCTATTTTATTGCTTCCTAAACATTTTATATTTTTTCCTTTCATATTTAGGCAACAGTAATTGATTTTTTTGGTATGGTGTAAGTAGATATTCAATTTCATATTTTTTCATGTGGATCATTCCAGCATTATTGATTTAAGAATCAGTTTTTCCCTCACTGATCTGCTGTGTCGGCTCCATGTGTTTATATATGTCAATTATATGCATGTACAGTTTTGTCATATATACGTGTGTGTATTTCATGTTCATTGGCCCCTTTCCTATCTTTATACCAATGCTACAGCCTTAAGTACCACAGATTTAAAATAAATATCGATAGGGCAACTTTATCAACTTCATACCTTTTTTCCAAGTGTATCATGGCTATGTTTGGCCTTTGTTCTATTCTATAAATTCAGAATCAGCTTCTCAAGCTTCAGGCATATACATAAAAAATACTGGGGATTTTATTGGAATTACACGGAATCCATAATTATCTTGAAGAGAACTGACATATTTATTGTATTGAGTCTACTAATTTTTCTGTTTATGTAAGGTTACTGTAAAATTTTTCAATACAGTTTTATATTTCCATTAAGGTCTTTCAAGTGTTGTGATAGATTTACCCCTTAGTACTTTGTCTTTTATAGTATATAAATAATATACTTTAGACTATATTTTAAACATATGATTGTTGTATAGAGATATACAATTGAATTTTGTATACTGGCTTTGCATTCAATAAACTTATTAAACTCTCTTATTAATTGTAATAATCTGCGGACACCTTACAATTTTTTTATATGAACCCACGTATCATCAGCAATTAATGACAGTTTTATTTCTTCTCTCTCATTTCTAAAATTGCTTTCCTGTCTTACTGCACTGACTAGGACATCTAGTGTAATATTATATACAGTTTAATATACCGGGTGTCCTTTTAAATTATCTGATCTTAAAGCAAATGTGCCCAGTGTCTCACTATTAGGTATAATGTTTAATATAGATTTTTGTAGATCTTCTTTGTTAAGAAAGGAAATATTCTTCTCTTCCTAGTTGCTAAGGATTTTGTCACATATTTGTCACTTACGTTGAATCAGATGATTATATTTCTCATATTCTTTAACCTGGACATAGTGACCTGTCCCTGCTGAACCACAAGGAGGTGAAAACTAAAACTTGCATTCTGGCTGCAGCAAATATCTTTAAGGAACAAGCCAGGTGCAGTGTTCTTTTTCCGTTTGATTTCCTGTTTCCACTCAGGTGTGAGATGTTCTTGAAATCCCTTACTTTCTTGCTAGTTTTATGTTGCATTCTTTAAAAGGATACATTTACATTTTATCCAGAATTTTTGGTTGTTTTCAGTGGTGGATAGCTCATTGCATTTAGTCCACTGTGCAAGAAATAGAAGTTTTCCCTTTCTTTTTTGTCAAAATAATATCCCTCATTTCTTGAAGCACATCTCCTTTAGATTTCCCTTTCTATCATCATTTGGAAATTTTAACTTTATCCAATCTAGTTATTTATATTACTTTCCAAACCTTCTCCTCCCAACTTTCCAATTTCTTAACAGTTTTACATATTTCCTTAAGATTGAGGTTGGTCAATTGTATGCATAGACTGTTTTGTCACATAATTAAACCTCTTTTTGTCTATCTCAGAGACAATAATATTTTCAGTTTATGAAGGCAAAGTATGTACTCTCTTCTCCTTTTGACCACCTTGGAATTCAATAACTACATATTCCAGTTGCTGAGTGCATTTTGTTGTTCCTTTAGTAAACCTGGTATGATTGATGATCAAATCCTTCTAGCTTCCTTTTCTATATAAATGGAAAATATATCATGGGAAATTTAATAAGTCCTCCTATGGACAGAACTCTGTTTCATACAAATGTTTATGCATACTGAAAAATTCTTAGCGAAAAATGAAAATCAGAAGAATATTTCATTCTCTTTTTGTTTCATGAAGCATTTCTGGCCAATCACACTGGCTCACGCCTGTAATCCCAACTCTTTGGGAGACTAAGGCAGGAGAATTGCCTGAGGCCAGAAGTTTGAGACAGCCTGGGCCTCCTAGCCAGACCTCATCTCTACAGAATATTTTAAAAATTAGCCAGGCATAGTGGCACATGCCTGTAGTCTTAGCTATTTCAGAGGCAGAGAAAGGAGGATTGTTTGAGACCAGGAGTTCAAGGTTACAGTGGGCAATGATTGCACCACTGCACTCCAGACTGGGCTACAGAGCAAGACCCTGTCTTTTTGGGAAAAAAGAAAAGCATTATTGCTTCTCCTCACTTTGCTCAACATTTTGATTGTTTATAGTACTCACTGTTTTCTAATATGGTATATAGTTTTTATTTATTATGTTTGTTTCTATCTTCCCCCAGTAAAATGTAAGTTCCACAAGGGCAGAGATATAATCTGTTTTGTGCATGACATATCCCAAACAGTGCCTGACACAGAGTAAATGCTCAATAAATATATGTTGAATGAATCAATGGTGTACAATATTTGCATAAACAAATAGTAAAAAGAAAAATAAAAATTCATGATTTACTTTTCTCAAATGGTTTCATATTTTCTTAATCAATGCTGTTTTATTTTATACTTTCAGATATCAACATGGCAGGAGAGCCCAAACCATACAGACCAAAACCTGGAAACAAGAGGCCCCTTTCTGCACTTTACAGGTAAGTAGATAAGCACTGTTTTACTCTATGTAGTCATGAAATTTTCTTGCAGCTTTATAAGGCAATATAACTTGTAAGGCATCCACTATTTTAAATAATAATCCTTATGGGAATAAAGTTCAACAAATGTTGTTGGTCAACATATAAATATATCTTGCTGCATTGGGAAGGATCTCAGATGCCTAACCTTCTCATATCTGCCTATGCAACCCTTCTACAAGATACTTATCTAATAAAAATCACTAATAACTCTCCCTGACAAGTGGGTGGAAAGGTCAATGTTGGTTGACTTTTTTCTTCTTCTTCGAGATGGAGTCTCTCTCTGTTGCCCAGGCTGGAGTGCAGTGGTACAATCTCAGCTCATTGCAACTTCTGCCTCAAAGGTTCAAGCTATTCTCCTGCCTTAGCTTCCCAGGAAGCTGGGATTGCAGGCGCCCACCATCACAGCCAGCTATCATTATTATTATTTTTTTAGTAGAGACAGGGTTTTACCATGTTGGCCAGGTTGATTTCGAACTTCTGACCTCAGGTGATCTGCCTGCCTCGGCCTCCCAAAGTGCTGGGATTACAGGCGTGAGCCACCACGCTCGGCCCTTGGTTGACTATTAACTGCATACCATATTCTATAGCTATTTTATATATGTTGTTTAATTTAATTTTCACAAGGCTCTTGCAGCGCAGATATTCCTGTTCTCATAATGCAGCTCAGGAACCTGAGATGCAGTTTCTTAGTGATTTTTCTCAAGGTCACACAGCTGGTTAACAATGTCACCAATACTCAGACTCATGCCCTCTGCACCTTAAATTCTTTCCACTCAGTCAGCCTTGTTTATTACAAAGTACATGTTTCTCTCATGCCCATTTTTCCCAGACAACAAATATAGTCCTTCTCTTCTGCAGAGAGACAGATCCAATTCCTTTAACCTTTCCTGAAGTGCTTAGGTCTGAGTCACTTAACACTCTGGTCTTTCCCCTCTGCATGCCCCAATTTGTCAGTGTCTATATCTATACTGAGAATCCAGGTGGAGAGTGTAGACTAGACTTAGCACCTTTGTTGTTCTGTACATACTTCTATTATGTTAAGTAGACTTGAGTTGACTTGGGGAAGAGTACAGGAGTAAACTTATATAACTTTCAGTTCTTTAAAAACAGCCACTTCTGAAAAGAAATTATGTTCTGCTGTTAAACCATATGTCCCACTTCATGTACTTTTGCCATTAGTTTTTGTACTGTAAGTGCTGACTTTGTGTCTATTGCAGTTAAATTCTCTTTTGTTAGATATAGCCAATTGTTCCAGGCTATTGAGATCTCCTATCATCCAATTTATTTGGTTTTCTCCCAGATACATATCATCAGTCCATCAGCATCCACATCTGAAGAGTTAACATAGAAGTGTTGAGCAAGGCTTCCTTTTTCTCTGATATCATTTGGATAAAGGAGAATTAAGTTGTATGTGTTAAAATTGATTATTTTCTGATTTAGTGTAGTAAGAAGAGTGCTCAAATATAGCCTGGAGCACTTTCCTTGTTTTTGTCCTTTGAAAACTAGCATATCTTCTTTTCAGCCATTTATAGTCTCATTTTCTGAACTCTAAGATGAGGGTCAGAACTAGATCACTTCTAAGGTCCTAGTCATCCCTAGTACCCCAGGGCTCTTCACTGTATGCTATTCAGAGATTTTTAAAGCTATACTGAAAAATACATCATAATTTCTCTTATTTTGGTTGATTTAGTTTTAATAAAACATTTTCTTAAATATGGAAAGCAATAGAATATAACAAATGTTGATAGTGGATCATGGGGTAATATTAACATTAAAGAGCAGAGATGATGTTATCAACAAGAAGCAAATGACACATTCTGTACCTTGTTTGAGGTAAAGGAGACGATTTATAAAACTAAGAAATGCAAATCTGCAAGAAATGCAGATTCATTTGTAAATATATACATTAGAGCTACAGCTAATGCAGAACATTTGAAAAGTCATATTTTCAATTACTGTTAAAACAAGCTGCCAGTGGCTTTTTTTCTCATCAAAGAGTTGCTACTGTCTGTGCTATGGTATTAATTTTCATATTTTCTCTTTTCTTGGATTGTTTTGATTTTCTTATGAGAATGGAAGCTCATGACAAGAATAAATGTCATTTTAACTATTATTTCTGTATTACTGTGATGTTCAATTGTGTTCAGAAGAATTAGAAGCAGAATTTCATTTAAACATGCTATACTGTATACAAGCCACATTAGTGAGAAAGTGCTTATTTATCCTCCTTTTATCTGTTTATGCAAATTAAGGCTGTGGTACACTGAAATTGCAAAACAGTACCAAAGGAAATGCAAGAACGTGAATGTATAGCTGAGGAAGCCCTTTTATACACATTTTCTCATTCTCACGTAAGCTTAAAAAAATTACCTTAATTTTATGTGGATAAACTATGTTTTCATAGTCATTATTCATCTGTTCATCAGATAACTCTACAAAATTGGTAGTATATACTATGCTGTATAAATGAGAAACCTGAGTTTCCAAAATGATAAAGGTTTGTTCAAGACGAGATCACAGGACTAGGAAATGAGCTCTGGTTTTCAGCCTTCATGTGTAGTATTCTTACCACTAGATTACAGCTCCCTGTATTTAGTCACTTGCTACCATCTAAACAACACAGATAGGGAAAGTAGAGATTTTCTGAGTCTCAAACCAATCATCAATACTATTACTGTCCATGAATACCATGCCAGCAAGTAGCAGAGGAAATACTATACAATAAACACTACATAAGAAAAACAGAGATACCACCTATTTATGTGATCATAGGGCACTGGTTTTAAGCTTCAAGTAAGTTCTTTTTGTAACATAATAGTTGTATAATTTTCCTGATAGGATAAAGTTGCATAAATGGGGTAAAAGCACTTAGTTCAATGTAGAGAATATAGTGGCGGTTGGAAAAGGTATAGTTTCTGCTTTCCTGTTCTTTGCATCTCTGAGTCTTTTTTTTTTTTTTTTTTTTTTTTTTGGTGGTGGTGTTGTTTGCTCGTTTTTGAGATGGAGTCTCGATCAGGCTGGAGTGCAGTGTCGTGATTTTGGCTCACTGCAAGCTCCGCCTTCCAGGTTCACACCATTCTCCTGCCTCAGCCTACTGAGTATCTGGGACTACAGGCACCCACCACCACACCTAGCTAATCGTTTGTATTTTTAGTAGAGACAGCATTTGACCATGTTAGCCAGGACGGTCTCGATCTCCTGACCTTGTGATCCTCCCACCTCGGCCTCCCAAAGCACTGGGATTACAGGCATGAGCCACCACACCCGGCTTCTGAATCTGTTTTCTTATCTGTAAAATGCAAGAGGGGGAATCATTTCATTTGTTCATTCATTCATTAATTTATACAAGATATATTTATTATGTATTTAGTCTAGGGACTGTAATAGTGCTTTTCTTAGGAAACTAGCATAGAAAATGGCAAGAGCAGGGTGAAGAGAGAGCATAACGTAATGAACAGATTATTTGTATGAAGTTATTTGTATGAAGGTAGTCTCTGATTTACCTTCCTGCTCTAAACTGCTATGTCTCTATAACTATTCTATTTGAACCACCAAGTGAACTGCCACCAGACTTTCTTCTTCACATACATCCACTTTATCTCCATTACCAATCACGAAGTGGTGTTCACATGAAATATCCACTGAGGCATAACTTTGATTTGTTTCTTCTTTTAATAGGATTTTCAACTCAGCCAAGCACCCTTCAATAAGGCCCTATTATGTGCTAAGTAAACATGGTATACATAGAAAATAAAAGTATACATAGAAAATAAAAGCTTCAAAAAGCTTACAGTCTTATGCATGAGTTAGATGCACAGATGAATAAAGACAACTGAGAAGTATGCATACACTTCTATAAGAGAATAAATGAGGAAGTTACTGATTCTGCCTAGGGGTAAGGGAGTAAAAAACATCTGGAAAGTTAAAGGAAGAAGACAACACTTGAACTGGCTTTTGAAGGGAAAAAGAGCGGGAAGGGCATCTCATAGTAGGAGCTAGTATAGCCTACTTGGTGGGGAATGGAAAACTGGGACATTATGGTGCCCAGGCTGTGAATATATCCATATATCAGGTTAAGGAGACCTGAATTTTATTCTGTAGGCAACAAGGAACCACTTAAACATGGTGACTGATTGGAAGTGGGGTGTGAGGAGAGTGAGAGTCACACATATGTCCAAGGTTTTCTAGTTCAGGCTATTGAGGGAATGATCACATGAGCAGAATAGAAGAAATAGGAAACACATGATAAGCAGTGGCAGGCTCAAGTGTAAGGTCGAGGAAAGGGAGCAAAAAGGAATTATGTCAGTCTTGGACATGAATTCATAAAGACAGACAATTCATTAAAATAGCACTTGCAATAAAAATGTCTCCCATTAGAGTCTATTTGTAAATGAAACATAATTAATCATTTGTGAACATTTCATAAATATTGGACCTGGTCCTAATGGTGAATAGCTAATCCATTCTCTAGGGAAAACATTGTAACTTTTAATAAATTGCTGCTTCAAATATGTTATGTACATTACACAGTATCTGTGGCACTCTAAAATAATAATTCTCCCCCAGGATGTGAGTTTTCCAGCATGCCGACTTTCAATTAATGCTCAATAATTGCTAAATGAGAATAATTGTATGATGGTTTTGCTTCTATTTGTAAAGTAGACAGACCTTTCCTCCTTGACGGAAAGCTAACAAAAAATATCAGAGAACAAAGACACTATTTATCAGAGCCGAACAAGAATGGATTTTTATTCACCCAGAGGTGACTCCCTCCTACTTGCAGGGAACTCAGCTCAGTAAGACATGTAGTATATATAGTTTCATCCCGTTGATTCTGTAAAAATCAATCATCTGGTACCATTGCCAAATATCACTTTTGGCTATCATACAAATGCCTCTTGTAGCAACCTTCCCATCCCACCCAGATGACCATGAGAATCAAGACTCTCACAAGTCAT